AAAAAAAAAAAAAAACATAGACTGGGCTGGAGAGATGGCTCAGAGGTTAAGAGCGCTGACTGCTCTTCCAGAGGTCCTGAGTTCAATGCCCAGCAACCACATGGTGGCTCCCAACCATCCATTATGAGATCTGGTGCCCCCTTCTGGTGTGCAGATATACATGGAAGCAGAATGTTGTATACATAATAAATAAATAAACTCTTAAAAAAAATCATTGTTCTTCAAAAAAAAAATAGACTGATTGCAAAAAGGTGATTTTCTGATTCTGTTTGTTTTTTTTTGTTTTTCAAGACTGGGTTTCTTTGAGTAGTCCTGGCTGCCCTTGAACTCCCTCTCTATACCTGGCTGGCCTTGAACTCAGAGATGTGGCTCCCAAGTGCTGGGATTAAAGGCATGGGCCACCATGCCCAGCTACTGATTCTATCATTAATTTATTGTGGTGCTGTGCCAAGTGCTCTATCACCGAGCTATTTCCCACACCCACAACAAACTGTATAACTTTTTTTTTGAGACAGGGTTTCTCTATGTAACAGCCCTGGCTGTCCCGGAACTCTCTTTGTAGATCAGGCTGGCCTCGAACTCACAGAGATCGATCTGCTTATGCCCCCCAGGCATTCACCACACCACTTCCTGGCTTTGTTTAGTTTTTGTTTTTTGTTTTTTTTTAAGAGCTATTTTTGTTGCTGGGTGATATGGTGCACACCTTTGATCCCAGCACTTGAGAGAAAGAGGTAGGTGGATTTCTAAATTCAAGGCCAGCCTGGTCTACAGAATGATTTCCAGGATAGCCAGTACTACAAAAGAAACCCTGTATCGGAAAATTAAAACCACAGGGCGTTGGTGGAGCACGTCTTTAGTCCGGAACTCTGTGAGTTCGAGGCCAGCCTGGTCTACAGAGCGAGTTCCAGGACCCGATTCAAAGCAATACAGATAAACCCTGTCTCGAAAAAACAAACAAACAAACAAAAAACCCACCAACAACAAAAAAGAAAAAACAGAAGAAATTCAGGCATAAAAAGGGATTGAAGTAATAATAGAATGCACACCAGCATAGCAGCCACTCCTGTGTAGCTTGTAGGGCTGGAGCTGTTTGCGCTCAAGATAAGCACTAGAAGAATCTGGAATGTTAATGCCACAGACTTATTAACTTCAAGGGAAGGAATGCAAGACCTGCTACCCACCCAGAAGGCTAGAAATGGACATGCTTTGTAGCCTGGTGACCTTTGCATTATCTGGGAGAACACACCTCTCCCTGAGACCCTTATTACGGGTTTCTTCTCAGGTTACTATAGAACCAATCTTTAACTTGATTAAAAAAAAATTATTATGTA